AGGCTGTGGCAGTTCACATCAAAATTCAATACATTTATTAAAGAAATAGACTTTGCCAAGGGTGGGCAATGATTCTCTGTGAGTTTGTGTCACCACCTTTCGCTCATCTGATCCGTTGTTGATATAAAAATATTGAGCCTGAAAGCTTTTAATTATTTTTGTGAATATAATTCTGATTTATATGGTCAAAAAATTTGACTGCGCCTTCACAATATAAAAACACAGAGATATGCTTAACTAAAAGATGTGAAAGCAAATGTTAAGTTGAGCTGACAGAATTAAACTGAGAATGAACCACATTAAGCTGAGGTCAAGTGAAATGAACTGAACGGAGCTGCAAATGAACAGAGCTGTATTAAAGTAAATACAGTCTAAATGGAGCTTTGCTATATCAAATGGAACTGAAGAGGAGTGAAGAAGAATAAGCAATGCTGTCTTGAATCATTTAACTGGAAGTACTACAGTGATGGGGAAAGGAGGATGAGCAACATGTGGGGCCTCAGGTCGCCCCTCCGGTAACCTTTGCTTTGTTTGACAATATTTACTCTGCAGAAAGACAAAGATTATGCAGATGGCTTCCTCTGGTGAACAAATAAGTACCTGCGTGTCACTTGTTTACACTGGCTTGAAGTACTGCAGAGGTGGGGCTGCTACATGTGACGCTAACATAGTCCATGATCACAGGAAATGCTGGAGGATGACGAGTATCACCAGGTTTATCTTTGGTACAGATGGTCTACGAGATTCTTCTTGAGAGTGAAAACTGGAGGTATAAGAAAGCAGCTTGTTACCATAACTTTCATTATACTTTACAAAATGGCAGTGGGTAGATTTTAGGGATAAACCCCTCTGTTGGTCGGTCCAGACTGAAATATCTCAACAAGTGTCAGATGCAATGTGCCAAGAGAAATGAGGAGTTGAAAGTTCCTGCAATATTATGCACATGCTACTTAATTGTGATTGTCTTTTCATCTGACACACTTTCTACCTGTCTGGACCTGATTGCTCAGGAAAGACATGCGGTCATTCAAAGCCATTTTATTGATTTTAAGTGTGTTTTTCAAAATTTTGAGACTTTACTTGTTTACAGCTTGTTTAACACTTATTTATTGACAGCTGTATTTTGTTTCTAGAAGTCATTTAGATGAATTGTCACATCCCTTGATTTGTTATTTATCATTAGCATTCAACACATCTTCCTCTTGCTCATAATGTTTGTCACATATTTTATCATCAATGGTTATCAGTAACAAAAAGTTCTCACCTGGTCTTTGAAAGTACAATTTATTCCAACAGACTGAGGATCAACAAAACAATTTATGCCGAGTGAGGGGTAGCAAGAGCTGCAGACAGACAGAAAGACAGACAGATGTCCAAAAGGACTTTAACTCCATTGGATTTACCCATTTTATCAGATTTTCTCATCTTCACTGCCCTCAGAGGTACTGTGATAGAGTGTGACAGGTCCACAGTGATAATCTACCAGCAGTTATTACTCACAACATTACAGAAACATTACACTCCTTATTCTGCCACTATCGCTGTCTTCACTTTATTATTTCCTCTTATCTCACATTCATGCCGTTCTAAATGAAAGTTGGTCAAAAAATAAAAACACTTCATGAAAGGAGACAATGTTGATATAGGATTCTTGTTGTGAGACTACAGTTATACTGAGTGACAAAAAAAATCTCACAGTTATTTTCTAATGGGCCTGCTGTCTTTTATCTAGATGAGAGAAGCGGGCAGCTGATAAAAATGCTAATACTCATCTGGAGCGCCTTCAAATATAATTGTGCAGCCACAGCAGTAATCTTTAGGAGCAGCAGGGAGTGATTCGTGCCTTGGTTTTGCATTCATGCTGACTGTGACTGTTGGGGCTGAGAAGGAAATCTGCAGACACTATTCAGGGCCTGAAATCTCTTTCTGTCTCCTGTGTCAGCCCAGTTACCCCTGCTGTATTTGCCATAAACATGATGCACATATAACCTAGAACACACTTGTTCCCTTGTGTATATTAGTTAACTTGTAACCATTGTTTCTCTGTCAGCTTTGTTTGACTTGAATCTATAGTTTTTTGACTGACACACCCACAGGTTGGACACAGAGGTTCAGATATCAAGTGCTATGCTGGTTGCCAGATTTTTTTAGGAGGCTCTTACAGTTGAGTTCATTTTTCAGGGAATGTTTCTCTTATATTGTTTCTTTGTCTTTTGCATGTAAAATGTTCATCTATGCCTGTTTATGATCCTACTTCTAACATAAAATGAAAATATTTCATTGTCTAAACATAATTTGTGATGTTTCCTACTCAGAACAAATGTGCTTCAGTTTGTCTTTGTTCTGAAACCAAATTTTATTCACTTGAGATAGCATCACAATAACGGTGCCATGCGCAGATTCACATGTCTCATTCCTTAGGGCAGTTACAGAAACGTCTCCAGAAGTATTTCATCAAATACAACATGATTAAATAGGTGTAGCCAGCTAGAATGAATAAATATTTGTCTTGCAAAAACAGATATAAATCCGAGTAAGAAGATCTATGACGAGATGCTGTGGGGCCATTAGGAGAATAATTCTGGTAAGGCAGTGACGCATGTGTCTGTTTCTGCGGTTGCTAACAGACACCATTCACCATACAGCTGTGCCTTGCTGAATATTATCAGTACTACTTGTGGCTTAAAACTTCACAATAAAAGAAATTATCAGTGCCATGTGTGGGACTCGTGAGGGCAGCTGACGTACTTATTACATTTGACTTTGATTCTAGTTGCATGCTGTTTTTGCAGGCAGGTGAAGTTCTATGAATTTCATGATTAGAGTCACTAAAGTAAACATATCCAATATGCTTTGATATGCCTTGACTGCAGGGCTAACAGCTACCTGTGGTGCCTGTGAAGGTGCTGGCTCAGTGAAATGTAATGTACATTGTCACCATGGCAACATGACAAGGGGTCTATGTCATATTGCGAAGATCCTCTAATCACTTCACTGAGATATACAAGTGTGGTAGTAAATTGTCTTGTTGCGCCCCCTCCCCAAACGGACACACACACTTCACTACACATATATGAGTATGTGGGGGGAAATAATCTTTGAATCTTGACATGTTGAAACACAGGAATGTTTTCTGGGAGTGGATTATACTTTATTTTTTCCAGAAAACCTCAGTGGAAATTACTGTTCCCATTTATTTCCCAGTGTGGCATTAATACTGTTTCATGGCCCTGTCCACATTAGCAGGAATTACATTCTGGAGTAATAATACTGAATCCTGGTGAAAAAATATTATTGACATTTTGCCAAAAAATCAGTTTTTACATGTAGGATCTAGACTCCCCCAGGTTACTAAACCACAAATCCCCCAAAAGACATGACCTTATGTTTTATAGCCCCATTCATGCATAAAGCGACACAGCATAACAGACAAGAACAAAATCCACAGTGTAACAGTGCACATTGAAACATGGGCTAAATGAGGGGGGTAACACTTTTGCTTTCTCTCTGCTCCTCTTTCTTGATGCAAACCTGCTTGGTTTTGTACCAGTTAGCACATAAGGGTCATCTACTTGGTAAAATATGAAACTCAGAAGTCAGAAGTGAAAGGTGATATTCTTTATGTGAAAACCTAGCCTTGGGTTATAAAATAAAATAATCTCACCTGCCAGCTGAATGAAACCCTGGTGCTTGGTGTTTGAAAGTGTCTCTGTGCACTCAACATGAAAGCAAGAAAGAAATGCATTTTTTATTGTGTGGACTTTGCTGATTAAAGTGACTGTAAAAACAAAACATACAACAATGACCGTGAGTTCTAGTAATGCTTGTATTTTCCTCCTAACTATAATTGTGTGTCTCCCTGAAACTGTAATGACACAAGCAGGAACATTGTCTTGATTAAAATCAATCCCTAACTGTGCTACATTCCCTCACTTGGGTTCACGCTTTAAAGGAAAACAAAAATCACGAGTAAGGAAATTCATCATGCAATCCCTGGACCCATCGCTGTCCTCCAGCTACTTCCTGCTGTCATGATGTTTTATAACCCAACTGATTTTACATTCTGTTGAACTCCAACTGTGTTGTTGGTTGTTTCAGTGAATTTATAAAATGTAGTGACAGGTATAATTTACCACCAGCACTTTAGACTTATACAGTAGAAGTAGGAGATCATGGAAAGAAGGGAGGAAGAAAGAACAGGAAAGAGAAAAGGTGGTCAGGAACAAGGAAGGGTGGATGGAGAGAAAAGAAGGGGTGATAAAAGGGAAGAGAATGAAGGGATAAGCAAAGATGAATAAAAGGGTGGTGTATGAATGAAGGGAAAAAGGAGTGAAAGAAGAGGGAGAATAATGAAGGAAGAAGTGAAGGAAGGGGGAGGGAGGGAGGGAGGAACGAAGGAAGGAAGAAAAATGGGAGGAAGGAAGGGGATGACAAAAAAGAAGAAAAGGAAGGAAACATAAACAAAATGAGACAGAAGTGTATGGGGAAAGGAGGAAGGATAGAAAACTAAGGAAGGAAGGAAGCAAAGAAAGGAGAAAATGAAGGAAAGAAGGAATGAATAATTAAGTAGGAGTGAGGTGGTGGGGG